TGCACATCTGTGCAAACCTGCCCGAGGACAGAAGGGGTCATGGTGCTACAGGTCTCATCCTTGCTCAAGGCAGCCCCGCTAAGGTGGGGTAGACTTAGCTGGGGAAGGGTTTTTTTTCAGAGCGAGGGAACCCCACATTGTGCTGGGATGGAGTGCATGGGGCATCAGAGCAAGAGTGAGGGATGGGGACTCATGTTGGGGAGAAATGCATGGCCATGGCTCTGCGAGGGGGTGAACTGAACGGAGAAATGACAATGGAAGAAGCAGCAGCACCATGCCCATGGCTGTAGGAGCTGTTCGCTGGGCCTTGGCATGAGCAGGGTCACCAGCACCCCCAGCCCTCCACGGTGGCATTGGGCTCCCAGGCATGTTGGTCATGAAGGGGTACTCATCCCCACAGTCCTGTTTGGGACACCATTTGTTCAAACAGTGAACAAGTAACTTAGGCTTGCCATGAAAGCTGGTAAGATCCAAAAGGCATTGAATAAAATAGCTAGGGAAAAAAAAAAAAAAAAAACCAAAAAAAAAAAAACATAAATCTGATTGCTCAGTTGCCAACTAAATGGCAGCCACCAGGGCTTTCTTATGCATTACATGTTTGTTGGTGTTTTTCTTCTACATTCTGCTCCTGGCATCTTGTAATTAAAGGGGAAAACCAGTTTCCAGAGAAACATAAAATGATCGCTAAACTATTGGATAAAAAAACAAACAAACAAAAAAAAAAACAAAAACAACAACAACAAAAAAAAAAAAACAACAACAAAAAAAAAAAAAAACAAACCTAAAACTTGAAAAAAGCAAAGAGGAATAACATACCCCCAAGCTGTCCTGAATTTTGCTCGCCTTTAATCTCATGGATTTGGACTGGGCTTTGTGATTCTTGAAGATCACACCTCATGGCCTGTTTAAAGCTGGGCTGGAAGAGGGAGACATCACAGCAATGGAAAAATGCTCTGAATGATGGTCACGTACCCACCTCAGAGCAACTAAAGAGCACAGAGAGAATAACAGACCATCCAGCAGTGTTCCTACCCATGGTAAATGCTGCAGATCTAGCGCCTGAGGGGATCTATTATTTTCTGGTTAAACAAACAAGTCTATCTATTGTTTTAAACAGTTTAGCTTTTTTTGAGCTGCTCCCTCACAAACTCAGTCTGAGCTCACCTGAACAAGCCTGGTTTTGAACTTTTAGGGGGACTGGGACTTATGATTTACGAGATAGCTATGGCGAGCCTCATGCAATAAAAGTCTGACCTATATGATGTGTATGGGCTACTGTATTATAAATATTTAATAAGTTATATTGAAAAAAGTAAGTATAGGGGTTACAGAAATCATATTAAAGCAACTAAGTAAATACAAAGAAGGTTAAAGTGTCTAATGCTATATGGTATAAAGGCTAAAGCAAACCAGATCTCTTTTCTAGATACTTTTTCCATGTACAGCAGTAACTGGGCTGCATAAAAATAAGGCAACTATTTAAAGACAGGCAAAAAAAGAAAAAAGATCTAAAGCATTTGGTTGGCATTGATAGCAATCATTTCAAAAAGCCCTGGAACATTTAAAGAGAATTAGAAAGGATTTTGCTGGAATCAAAGGGAGAGCACTTTCCATGGCTGGACGTGTATTTGGGTATCTGCAAACTGATTACATCAGAGTGAGCAGAACAGCCTTGATCATCCAGGACTCTAAAATCAGAAGAAAGGGGTTTTCCTGTTTGGGCTCTTTTTTTCTCACTCACACATCTTACAGCTTTCATTCTTCTGCCTACTTGATGGTAAGGTAACATTTATTTTGGCACAGAGGCTTGCAGAGCGCTTTGAAAGGCCCTCTGGGTCAAGCAGCTACAGCATATATCAAACCCACAGGGGTGAGCAAACCTGGAAATATTTAGATTTACCTTGGGAATCACTCCGGGGGTCTTTTTTTTTTTTTTTTTTCATCCTACCCTAAGTTTTGTTTTTAAAGAAGTGGATGCCTTCATGCTTAACCACCATATCCACTGTGATGCAGATGGGGCGTCTGGCTCGCTGCCTCGCCGGCCCACCATTCCTTTGGCAATGCCAATCCCATAACCAGCTCTCCCTCCGCGCGAGCCGAAAACAGGGGTTTTGCAAGGATTTCGCCCTTGCAGGCAATTTACCCATGGTGTCAGCCAGTGGAGAGAGGGCAATCAAGCCCCCCCTACACCCTGGTTTGCCCTCACCTCCTTCATGCTGGTGGTGTTGGCTGTCTCGGTTCTTTGCTCCAGTCCCCCCCAGCCGGCTGGGTGGGAGCTGGGATGGTGCCTTGCTCAATCATCCTGTGCCAAGGGTGTATTTCTCTTTGTGAAAAAGTAAAACTACAGAAAGAAGTGAGGCAAAACGTTGGAGCCAAATTCAAACACCACTGATGCGAAGAGGGGGTATCTCTTCCCCACACTCCCTTTGTGGGAGGGCACCCAACAGCCCCTCAGGAGCTGGTTTGTCTTGTGAAGCCTGTTGAAAACAATTCCCTTTTTTGGTTTTGTTTTTTTTTGTTTTTTGTTTTTTTTTTTTTGTTTGTTTGTTTGTTTTTGGTTTTGTTTTGGTTTTTTTTTTCATTTTTTTCTTTTTTTCTGTTTTGTTTTTCTTAGCTTTCTCCTGGCCTTGGCAATGGATTTGGCTGGCGGGAGGTGTGGGAGCAGGGCAGAGGGGACTGTGGCAGAAGAGAGCGGGAGGGAGAGCCTCCCACTGTGCAAGGGCTCGCATTGGTGGGGTTCTCCCACCGGCCTGCTCCTCGCTCCTCCCAGCCAGCGGTGGACAGAGGAGGGCAACACAGGGGACAGGATGAGATCAACTGAATGGTGAGAACAGGGAGTGGGGAGAGTTGGGGGTATAAGGTGCATTTTTTTTTTTTTTTTTCCCCCTTAAGTCTCAACATACGGTAGATAGAAATGTTAAAGCTGGAAATCTGAGGTGAGTACAGACTGACGTACAGCAAATCCAATGCAAACAGGCAAAAAATGAAAATGAAATGACATTCATTCCCCCCCTTTCTATTGTCTCTATGTTGTCAAATTCGGTAAACAAGCATACAAGGTAACCCAGATCCCAGCAGAGCTGGCAAGAGCCTTTCCTTTCCATTTGAGGGAAAGTCTGAGCTGTTTTTAGGTCAGGAAAAGTAGTTTCCCCTAATGATGTTTATAAGTCATGCATGGAATCTCCAACACCCAGGAACTGTTATATTTTTAAACCTTTCTGCAGATCCCCCCCATGACCTGTGGAAGAGGAAACAATCCCACGTGGGCTCTGGTGAGATGCTGGGTTACCCAGAGTGGTGTTTCCCTGCTTGGGCCCAGGGTACCAAGGGCACTTGGCCCCACAGCTTCTCACACAAGCGTGTCTCAGCTCCAGCCTGCAGTCCAAAAACTTGCTTTTATGAAAAAGGAGGGGTAGGAAAATTAACTTCCCACTGCTCATGGAAAGCAAATGACTGTACAAAGAGGGCTGATTCACCTATTAAAACACACACCTTTTTTTTTTTTTTTTTTTTTTCAGATAACCTTTTTTTTCTTTTTGCAGCATTTTCCCTGATACAGTTATCATCCTAAATAACGCTAACCCATCTCACTGCTACCAACAGAGAGGTTTTACAGTGCTATGGAGAACTATTTTGAAGGTACAAATCGCTTGACCTAAAGACTCTCCCTGGAGTGTCGGTGCTGTGCACTACATTTTCGCTCTGCCAAACCCTTTATTTAGCACATGCTAAAGAACATTTAACATTTAAAGATCCCCTCTGTACATCCTCTAAATGTCTCCATCCTTTGCTTTTAGATTAATATGTCTTCTGTGAAAATGGGATAATTGATTACAGAGCCGTATTATTTACAAATGAAGTATTGTTCATGTATTGACCTTTCATTTCTGTAGCTCAATACTAGTCCTTGTACAGCATTTTTAATTAGCGAAACGGTAACAGAATTAGAAGAAAAGGGGGAAGAAAAAAGATTTTGTGGATGCTTTTTATAAAAGGAAACTTTAAGATGACTTGAACGTTTAAAACTGCAAAAAATAATGTTTGATCAGATTCTGCATCCCAAATCTCTGGAAATAGAAAGAAATATCCTTCTTCTTCCAAAGGCACTGCAAGTGGGAATGCAGGGGGGAAGAGGCTGATTGGTAGACACGAGTGAGCATTTGCCCTTCACCCTGCTCCAGTAGCATTTCTGCACCGGGGTGTTCATTTCAGCCTAGTCTACTTGATGAGGAAGAAACCAGCAAAGCCCACCTTAGCATTTCAGTGTGAGTGACACCGATGAAGTTGGGGAGCTTGGGCATGTACAGAAAAGCAAAGCTCTCAAAACTGGTGGCTGTGGAGCACCAAACACGACTGTCAAAGATGCTAGAAATGCTGAGGAGGCAAAAATGTAGCAAAATCACCCTTCTGAAGCCAGACAGAGAAACCTGGGCTGTAGAGCTAAGCTGGGTTGAATAACAGAGCATCCCAGAGCCTGGATGTGTCGGGCAGTGACAGGTCCAGGCAGTCCTTATGAACCCCATCCCCAGCCACACCACCTTGTACTCAACAGCTGTGAGCTCAGGACGACTCAAACCCGGCTGAAAGAGGGATAAAGAGCAAGGAAGCAGGAAGAAAACATGAAATATGGCATAAATATAATCCACAGGAGTTTGAGGTTTAAAAAGAAATACGTTCTACTTGGGAAGGGGAAGGATATCTTGTGAGAGCCTCTAACAGGCTTGGAAAAGCTCTGGCTTTCAAGAATAACTAGGAAAAACCTCTCCTGCTGTGAATCTGACATAGTCCTCATGTAAATGCTCTGGTCTGTTTGTGTCTGGTTTAGCTTGACCTCTTAAATGGGTAACTGTTTCTAATGAACCCAGGGATTTTGATGGGGAGAAAGTGAAACTCCAAACAGGCAGAGCTGCCCTCAGGTTGATTCCACCATCCTTCCTCAGGAGGGTGAAGGAGGATTTTCCACATGGACTTCAATGGATTCAGACCCATGAATATAAATATTTGAAATATAAAGCAAATAATTTATTTTCTCTGTTACAAAGATGTTAGTTAATAGCCTTACAGCTATAAAGGAACTCTTGTAACTGCAGAAGAGGGGTTTTTTAATATATAGCTATCTTTTTATTAATGCAACAGAAGCATATTAAAAATGCCTGTCATTGCAAGTCTGGAGAAAAATATTAGGCTCGAATAAAGGTCATTGAGGAAGGATAGAGGAAAGTAAGAGGGAAGGCTTTAAGTGCATTTTCAGCATCCTATGGAAGCAGACAACTAATACATGGCACTCTTCAGAAGGTCTGTTCTGGGGCACACTTGTCCCAGTACAGATGGTCTCATGTGCAACATCCACCGAACCTATGGGGAAAAAAAAAAAAAAAAAGCCAAACTACATCAGCATCTTTCAGCACTCTGGGGAGCACGAACATGCTGCTTTGCCATTTAAATTGTTTGCAGTGTGTACTTTGTCTGAGGCATCTCAGCTACCATTTTCTTGCTAAGGGGCTGGTCCTGTTCCCCTCTAAGTAGCATCATCTTCTGACCCCAGCAGTGATACCCTGTTCTTACTGAACAGTCACGCCTATTCAGTGATGTTGCAACAAAATCACATGTATATTCAAGGCATCTGAAACAATTCTGCTGTTTACTGTCAGATCTCCCACACAAGCTATGTAAATCATACATCTAGGACACAACCCATGGTACAGTTTTGCAGGTGGCAGCAGCAGGTTCCTGACATCCCCAGCTTGTGGCTGTCCCCATGTCTGTGCAGAAAAGTCCATAACTGGGGCCCAGCCACCCCAAATGACCAAATTTTAGCCTTCGCTATGGCTGAAAATAGGACATGAAGGGGCATGCTGCTTGAGCACAATATATCCCATACATCCAGCTTGCTGGGCTAAGCAGGACGTGGGGATCCCTCAGATGTGGAGCCAATAGGGAGCACTCCAGCTACCTGGGATTTTATAAATCTTTCAGCTATCAGTCTTTCAGAGCTCCAAATGTAAAATCCAGCAGCCTGGGATATCATGTGGATTTATGACTTGGGATTTATGAACTGGTCTGGATAAAATAAGAACTGCCTTGACTTTTTTTTTTTTTTTTTTTGAAGTTTGAGGAAAAGAAATAATAAAAAATCAAAACCTGATTTTTTCTTTTTTTCCATTTTCAAAGCTTGCTGTTTATACAAATGTAGACGTTTTGTATAGATCCAATTATTTTGGTTTTCCTTCTTACCTGTGTGCTTCCTGGGGCTGGAAGCGGAGCAGTGCAAGCAACGCGCTCTTGCAGGGTTTCCAGCCTGGCAGGAATCATTCCAGAAAACGCGGTCTCAAAGCCCTCCCAGTCCCGCTTCTGGCATTATGAAAGGTGATGGTAAATATTTAGGGAGATTTCTAGATGTTTCCAAACTGTAGGTAGCTTCCCACACTACTGCCACAGCTCTCACCTGATTTCACTACTTTTTTCTTTAAATAATTTTGCAGCGCTTGTTATTTTTCATTTGTGGCAAGCTGGGTTTTTAAGTGTGCATGTGTGTATAACATATACATATATATGTGTGTGTGTGTGTACATTTGTGTATGTGTGTGTACTCACGTGTACTCATGTGCACATTAATGTGTGTATATTTCTACACCTCTAAATAGGCACCAACTCTCTATATACATATGTATACATGTACACATGCATACACACGTGTATATATGTACACATGTGTATGTATATATGTACACACACATATATGTACATATAATTATATGCCTATTTACAGCTGTATAAATATGTACACAGACATAGACATTTATGAGACTGTATTATGGATGGTTTCTATATTAATTCTTTGATTAGAAACCAATACAGACTATCACTTTTTATTAATACTATTGAACTGTATGTATTTTTCATGAGAGACCATCCCAAAGGACTTTCTATCTTTATCTTTAACTTACAGCCTTCCTCTCAAATTTTCTCATTTTACAGAAAAAAGAAAAGATGGTATTTACCTCGGTCAGGAGGAAAAGCTGTCAGATATATTTTTGCCATCTCTTCTGATTGGCTCTTTCTTACCTCTGCCCATAGTTACTGGGTGATTTTCTTCCAGTGATTCCTGAGTTCTGTTCTTTCATTTATGGATCGAGGTACCCCTTAGGAAAAAAAAAAAAAAATATATATATATATATATCCCTAGCCTTTCAGCCCACCATCTTCATCCTCTTGGGCACAGATTTATCCATGCACTAGCATATCCAGACCGTACTGACACCTTCACCCCAGCTTGCTGAAACCTTTGCACACATCCTCCGCCTCCCATCTTGAGCTGGCACCATGCAGATGCTGATAATGCTGCATTTAACCACCACATGAGACCTGCCCACATCAGTGAGTATCTCCTAGGGCTGCTGACAGCCGCCTAAGAGGTAAAGGGGCTGTACAGGGAGAAAAAGCCGGGGAGAACAGCGTGATGAAGGATGCTGTCACCCCTTCTGCTGGTGGTACCCCAGCCCCACAGATGATGCCGCACCAACATTAGGGGAGTGGGGATGATGCTCCCAGAGCAGCTCAGTTTTGGTCTGTGCAGGAATAACGGGCTTTTACAATCACCTCGGGTTCCTGGATAACCTCAGGTGGAGGTGCTCATCGCGGCCGAGGAATCCAAACCAAACCCTCCCAGCCCCTATCCTATGGACCATGGCCTGGAAACTTAACAGGCTCAGTCTAAGAAATGTCAGCAGGTTACTCTTTGTGGGTCTGAAACACAATGTTTTACTTTGTTTTTAATTACCACACATTCAGATTGTTTTTCAGCATGACTTGTGTCCTGGGAATAATTTGATTTGGAAATTTTGTTTTAAATAAAATTGAGGAGCTCAAACCATGTCTTAGAACTAGATAAAATTACTGCTTAAAAAAAAGAAAGCCAGGGTATTATTGGTTCTTAAACATTTAGTGTGAATTTTCCAATTGCCACCTTTTTTTAAGCTCAGAAATGATGCAGTGAGCCACCAGGTTTGGGCGGAGGAGGCCAGCAGACTGGTCTCAAGTTTGGCACCTCCCTAGCATCATCTTTGGTTGAGAAAGTTTGTCAATAATTTCATGCAGAGATTTAATGAACAACAAGGGATGTGGCAACTGGGAATACATCTTTCCAGTTTTCACCTCACCAAGCATCTGTACCCCTGGTATCTCGGGTATTCGCTGCAGTTCCCATTCAGGCACTGGGGACATTTTGGGGACAGAGTGAGGGGAATTTGAAATTTTTTTTCTTTTCTGCAAGCCTTTTTCTGCCCACTTTTCACATCACTGGCAGCCAGAGAAGGGCAGGTGGCTGTGACACCAGGTACAAGGTACCCCACACCGGAGCGGCTGTGCCAGCACTGGTGGGGGGCTGGGGGGAGGGCAGTGGGGCAGCCACCGCGCCGTGGGGACATCCCGAGCCTCTCACCCCTCTCCCTGCAGCACCCAACACTAACAAAACCCACCAAATTGGTGTGCCAGAAGCATCTTCACTTGGCTGCTTGGTGTCGGTACATGGATCCTGCTCTCCCTGGTCCCAGTCCCATCTCCGGCATGGTCTTGCCATTAAAAATTATCTTTCTACCCAAGGGCAAGGGAAGGGGACCGGGGGCAGGCTCTTGTGCAAGGCACTAAGTGTCTGGACCCCGCTAAGTTCAAAGGCACCCTCCCTCCCACCCTGAGGAGGGATGTAGCCGGCCGGAGGATGGCTGGAGGCCACACAGACGGGAAGGTATGTAACAATCCATTTATCACTTTGCAAATATTAGTGCTGCTCGCATTTGCTGCAGCAATATTTCTTCTTGGAAATTGGTGAAGTGAGTAATAACAATGTTATTTATTCTAAGACCTTGGAACTGAGAAGCAATAACAGGGGGGACTGTTCCCTTGAAAGCTTCAGAGGTGCTGGAAATAAAATGGGGGGGGGGGGGGGGGGGGGGGAAGAGAAAATAGACCGACAAAGGTCTGGAGGAAAGAAAGCCATTGAAATCTCTTGTTTAATTTTGTTGCCCCAAAGGTAATAAAATGCATTTTGTAATGATTTATAGATAAACAAGGAGGGCTGGGAGAAGGGTGAACATTTCAGATTCGTCTCTGGCTGGCACATCCTGCAAGGTAGCAGGAGTCTGCCCTGCGGGGCTCACCCCCCGCGCCTGCTGGCACCTCGGGTTTTGTCTATAGCAAAGCGCCTCCTTCCCCACAGAGTCTGCCTGTTCTCTTCTTTTATTTATTTCTTTCCTTTCTTTCTTTCCCCCCCCTCCCCCCCCCCCCCCCCCCCCCCCCCCGCCCCTTGCATCCCTTATCTGAATATATAAGGCTGCCCTTTGCTCAGATTTATGGGTTGGGGCAGCGCTGTGTGTATTTACAGTCTCCTGACCTGCAGACCTACAGCTGAACAAGAGCAGGAGGAAACCAGGGCCCATTCCATAAACAGAGACAGATATGAGGGGGAGGCAAGCAGGAATTGCGAGCAGCACTTAACATTTTTAACTGTTTGGCCAAGCCAAGGAATTAGCGATTAGATTAGAGGCAAAGAAAAATGAGAAGCAGGGTTAAAGATTTGGGGGCGGGGGGTGGCAATGGCCGAGAGTGGCCCCCAGGTTTGGCATGGGGAGAAATTAAAAGTTATAGGGATTTTATAAAAGGTTTTCCAGGGCAAAAGGGAATAGGGATGAAAACGAATCTCCAAAGCATTTTAATCAGAGCTGTGCTTTCCCTGGGTAGAGCTGAACAGCTCTTTTCAAGTCTAATTACCTTTTGAGGAGGTAGATTACTTAGACTGTGTTTATTCAGGTACTAATTGCTTCAGATTAAGTAAAAAGAAAACCTTATTTGACGATAATATTTCTTACATCCATATCTATCAGTTGGTTTGTTGGCAGAAATTCGGTGCAGATGAGACATATTTCAAAGGGGCCAGAGAATTACTCAACTTGTCCAAGGCAAAGGCAGCAAAAGTGGCAACAACCTGGAAAATAAATAAATGAAATGCACCGTATGTAGGGGTCACGATATAGCATAAGTATATCAACATGATGAACAGCTTTGATGAAAATGGTAAACAAAACCACCCTCTCTTCCTGTGGCTTGTTTTACATTGCAATAAACCACTGACTCTATAACCTATCAGAACATGCTGAGATTTTATGCATCATTTCCAACTACTATTTGAACATTTGGTTTAGAGTAGTCATGAACTATAATTAATGGGATTTTTTTTTTTCCTGATAAAAAGCACGCTTTATTGTATTTTATTACCTGTTGGTCCAAAGCTCCATATAGATGACGTAAATTCATTGTAGGTTTTAGGATGGGGATAAAGCCGGGGAGGGGTTGGGGGGGGGGGGGGGCGTTGTGCGTGATTATGATGAATTAACATTTAGCATCTGTAATGAAACCCAGAAGTTTAGTTTGTGATGCCCTGTCCAAATTTTCTTTGCTCCTATGAGCAAGCTGGTAGCGCCGGGACGCCTAGATTTCGGCCCAGCTCAGCCTGCCAGGAGGAGAGGAGAAAAAAAAAACAACCCAGGCACCACAAAGACCATTGAGATGAATGGCTCTATTTTATGAGCCATAAAAGTTTTATTCATCTTGACACCGAAACAGGTTTAGGCAGCAAGTTGACACGCCTTAAATAAATAAGTGGAATTAATTCCCCGGCTCTTGAAACAATAGCAGCATGCCCGTAACGCTGAGAGCTGCCCGTTGTTTCCCGTTGCTGCTCGATATTGATATTATTTGTGGGAGTTTTTTTCCTCTGGGGCCTGGTTGCTCCACTTCAGATTCTTCCCCTGTTTTATTAGAGGTTGAAAAAGGTTCAAGACCTGGTTGTACCGCTGCTCCCACCGACAGCTAAGGAACCAGTTTGGCGTCTGGTTTGTCTGTTGTTTTACTGCTGACCTTCAAATCAACTTTCCCCCCTGACCCCAGGAGGCATCTATCATGACAAGAGGCTGTTTAACACAAATGGTGCCCATTTATAGGGGAAGAGAGTCAGAAGATTTCCTTGATTGTTGTTTTTTGGGTTTTGTCTTTTTTTTTTTTTTTTTTTATGAAGAATTTGGTTTTTTCACCCCTCTTTTCTCAGTCACCACAGGTGAAATCCCTCCTAGCAGCTGGCTTATGAAATAATGCGAGGGGAGGCCTTAATGAGCTGAAAGCACCCTCAGCTGGAGATAAATATATGCAAATGAGATGCACAAACAAAGGAGCCCGGACAGAGAAATATCTGCAATTCCAGCAAAATGCTGCCTGCAGCTAGAAGATGAACAGCTTTGATAAAATGGTAACAAAAAGCACCTTTTTCTCCTCCAGCTTGTTTTACATTGCAATAGAGCATTGTTATTGTAACCCATCGGAGCATGCAGAGGTTTTCTGCCGTGGCTTCAAAAAAAAAAAAACCTGTTTAAACATTTGTTTTTAAGGCATTCATGGGCTATGAGCAATGTGATGGCTTGGGTTTTTTGGTGGCTTGGGGTGGGGTCTTGAGGGGGTTTGGTTTGGTCAGGCTGAGTGTTTTGGGGGTGTCTTTTTTTTTTTTAGCTTTCTTTTTTAATATTTTTTAACCTGATGGTGTCTCTCTGGCTCGGGTTGCTGGTGATTTTTGTCGTGATGTTTTGCAAGGGGGGATGGCTCTTTCTTCTCTAAAAAAAACCTGGAGTTTTGCATTCAAATTTGGAGGGAAAATCCAAGTTGACAAGTAGCAAGAAGCAGCTTGGGGCGGGGGGGAGAAGGGGGGGAAAAAAACAGACTTGAACATTCACCAAGCAACATCCAAACAGGCAGCTTTAATGAAAGCAATCAAGCCTCTGAGCTAATTCAAAGACAGACATCTAACATGCTGATTTTAATAAGCTTTTAAAAGGCAATCTCTAACTTTTAAAAGTCGCTCTTTTTAATTTAATTGGGTTTTTTTGGTTCATATATTGCCAAAACAAACACAGCCACTAAAATATGTTTTCAATATGTATAAGTAGCATATCTAGACAATGTTTTAAATTAGCCCTCTATTTGGGGAGGGGGGGCGGGCGGAGAGGAGGCTAGAAAGAGGCTTACTTCGGATGAGTCAAAGATATTTTCCAAGCAGGGCTCATCACGTCAAAATAATACCTTTATAGTCTTGTCTCTGTCTTTATGAATCCTCCTTTGTGGATGTATGGAAGTCCTTTACCTATAGGCTTCTTCAGAAAACAACCACAATCCTCTCTTGGAGATACACAGATTACTTTCTAAGAGGCAGAAGAGAAAAAGGAAGAGAAAATACAGTACTGTTTAACTTTTTACCTTATGATATCATTAAATAGATCATTACAGATTTACAAACGGAGGATAAACACTATAAAGTTTTGAGGGCCCTTTACTCAAGGCACTAACCACAATTTTTATATCTGGCAAGAAGAAGAAAAATAGACTTACCTTTTTTTTTAACAAAAAAAAAAAAAAAGAAAATCCCCTCTTATAAGGTTATACGGCTTTGGCACTTACAGATGTTAGAGCAGACAAGTGTCGGATTTCCCGACGTCAAACAGTTTTCCTAATTTTTCATAGATTTCTCCTGTTGCATTTTTGGCCTGATGTGAGAATCGTCAATTTAATTTGTGGGG